TGTCCCTCCTCCATCAGGCTCGTGTCTTCACTGATGTGTGGGGCTTGCTCTCTCCCTGCCCAAGTTCCCACACACAGGTGGATTGGGGAACTGCGTTTCTGTGATCCTGAGGGCCAGATAGGGCATCTGATACCATCCACATTTTATGGATAGGTAAGCCAGGGTGCCGGAGAAAGGGCAGTCTGACTCCTGGGCAGCGTCTCTTTCCCTGCACTGTATGCAAGAGTGGTCAGGACAAGAGTGTCTATGGTGGTGGTGGCTTTGGGGCCAGAGCCTTGTAGTCTTATCTGGGGGTGGGCTGCATATTATTGAGGAAGGAGAAGTCCAAGTCAGGCAGACCCACTTCTTGTTACTTTGACCTACCTTTTGCAAAATGTGGGCCCATCTATGACAGACTCTTCGCTGTCTTCCAGGTGGGGAAAATGAACCCTTGGGTGGAAAGCTAGCCTACATCTCTGTAGCATGCAGTGTTGACTACAGAAGGCTAAGTGCAGAGAGACGACCAGTGTACTGCTTAGCAGGAAGCTTCCTGAAAGGACACTTTTCATAACTGAGAGAAAAGGTCCCCTCACTTCTTTGAACCTGCCCCCTTACTTTCTTGTGCTTTCCTGACCACACCCAGGTATACCTCAGAGTTAGCTGTCCTGGTGGGTCCGTGCCATCTGAATGAGTCCCTTTGGTTTTGCTGTTTGTCTGGGCTCCACAGCAGACCCGAGTTGGAAGGCTACCTGTGTCACTTACAGACTGTGTGAGACTGGGCCCATTACTCTCTGTGTGAGCCTCAGTTTCCCCATCTATAAAATGAGCATGAAATAATGGACATCTCCTGAGTTTGTCGTGAGAATTCTGGGCTTAGCAGATCAGTCTTCAGTCTCTAAATGGGGAGCTGCTCAAACTGTGAGTGTTGGTCACCTCAAGTCACCAAGCTCTTGGGTGGGTCCCTGCACTGGGCTGCAGCAAAGAATCTGCTGGAGCTCCCCACCTGTGGGGGATTCATTTCATTCCTTAGGTTCCCCAGAGGTGGGCAGGAACAGGGAGGAGCCCAGAACTCACTGGCTTCAACTTTCTCCCCCTGCCCCTGAAGACCCCACCCTGCCCCACATCCACCTGGAACTTGGCTCTGCCCCTTCCTCCCCAGCAGACCCATGCTTCACACTGCGCCCTATTCCCATGCTGTTCCCCCGTCAGCTGCTCTGGATTTATTGGTCACTTACCGTGTACAGAAGCTTCCTGTCCTCAGGGAATATCTGGTCTCCCTGAGTGATGCGGTCGAGTATAGATGATAATACCAGCCTGCCTGCCCCATGTTAAAGGCATTACATTTTCATTGACTTCACAGCAGGCCTGTGAGGTTGTCACTATTTTATTGGTGAAGAACCTGAGGCCGAGAGCCAGTGAGGAGCTTGCCCAAGGTCATGTGGTGAGGCCGCAGCAGAGCCTGGGTTCCCAGTAGGTCTCCAGCTCCTCCATGCTTATCACTTCCACTGACTTCCCTCCCTCTTCCAAGAGCGGGAACTGCCTTGTGCTAGGAGGCAGGCACCTGGCCATCTCCTGTTGGGGGCCTCACTGTCTGGTGGGCCCCTCTTCCCTGATAGCCCTGGGAACTAAAGCCCTAGATTAGGAGTGTGCACTTTCTCTCCTGATTTTCCCCAACTCACCATCCAAAGGGGCAGTGAGAACACAGGTATAGCTAGAGGGTGACCCCTTAGGACAGGTCCCACACACAAGGATAGGCCTACCCTAGCATCCCAGTTCTGCCCCTTCTCAGCTTTGTCACTTGGGCCCTGACTCCACCTCTCTAAGCCCCTGTACCCTCCTCTACCCGGTGGTAATGGTCATAGCCCTATGCTGAGTCGTCACTGGGTCCTCCAGGTCAAGGGTTGGCACAGGACTGGGCATGCTATGCCCCTGAGTAGAGGCTCGTCTATACCTGGAGCCTATTTCCTGGGTTTTGTGGAAGTGGTGTCACCTTGCATGGGTCCTTAACTCTGCCCCAGTGCTGTCCCTCACCTTACCCCCTGCCACAGTGAAAAGGACTGTTTCCTCTGTGAAACGCTTCCCAGCAAGGAGCTGGCATCTATCTCTTCTGTCTAAGCCTGTCCTAGGAGCTCTGGTAGCATAGTGCCTAAGGCACTTGACTGCTAAGCAGAAGGCTGGTAGTTCAAACCCACCAGCCACTCCTTGGAAGGAAGATGGGGGAATCTACTTCTGTAGTGATACTGCCTCGGAAACCCGAGGAGAGATCTCTATGAGTCGGGTCGACTCCACGGCACATAACAACAACAACAATAAGCCTGTCCTACTGTAGCCATGGGTCCAGTTATTTAGGCACTCCCCTGTCTCCTGCACCCTTCCACGCACTCACACTGGACCAAGAAGACACTGAGGCAAGGGCATAGCTTGGTCATTTCTGTTGCACCCACAAGATCTAGCCAAGGGCTAAGCAGAGTTGAAGTTATGCTTAAAGACTGAGTGTGATGGGGAAGGGAGTGAGTAAGAGTCAGACATGGTGAACAGAATGGTCTGTTTCCTACCTTGGGTGGGTTGTTTTACCTCTCTGAACCTCAGATTCCCTCACCTGTAAAACGGAACTGTGATCACTTCCCACCTCAGAGCCAGAGGGAATCAAGAAGGCACCAGGGGCCCAGAGGTGACTCTTCACTGTGAGGAGACAGGGTGTTCTCTTTTATGTTGACACACACCCCACTCCCCCTCAAAAATAGGATGAAGTTGTGACCACATCCTTCCTGGTCATAGACTACACCCACCCCAAATGTTTGGCACTCTGCCTGTGAATAGCATGGCAGTCTCCTACAGGACTCCTGGGCAGGCTGTTACATGCCCTTAGGCCTGCTGGTATTGGTCCCTCCTCCCTTCCGGCCCCCAGTCTACAGGCCCTCACCCTGGATGTGGACACAGGGAGCCAGGAAATGAGGGAAGGGTGTCTCTCAGCTGGAGGCAGGCTTTGTGATTCAGCAAGCCCTCCCCCAGAATGCCACTTTACCAGGAGTGTGGGTGGTGTGAGGAGCCAGCTGGTCATTACAGGGCCTGGGGCCTTCCTGTGGGGTAGGTGCAAGGCCTGGCCTGAGAGTCCTGGCCTTACCAAGAGGGCTGTCCCCTAGGCTGGAGCCACCAGTCCAGGGTGGGTGGTGTCTGCTGGCCCCTAGATGACCCGAGCTCTGGTAATTTGGAGGCGGGAGGACTGGAGACAGGGAGACTGGACTCCTGAGCCTGGTTTCTCTTGGCACCACCTGTGTATGAGACTTTGAACGGCTAGAGAGTAAGCCCTCCACAGCAGCGAGGACATGAACTTAGCCGAGAAATGACGGGCCAGGGTTCAGTGTGGGCTCTGCCACTCACTAGCAAAGCAATGTCGTCAAGACAGATGACTAAACCTTTCTAAGCCTTAGTTAGCCCATCTGTGGAATGGGGCTAAAAATAGGGCCCACCTCCCAGGCTGTTGAAGGGATTCTGTGAGAACCTCTGTGGGAAGTGCTTAGCCCAGTAGCCTATTGACTGTGGCAGTCACCCATTTCCACCTCCCTGAGAGAGGGAGGTCTTGCCACCCTTCCACCCCATTCTATTACCAGTCATCAGAATAAGGTGGCCTAGTTCTGTAACCCAGGCACTCCTATTCTTTTCCCCCGAGAAACAGACCCATTTGACAAAACACAGATATTTGCTTTAAAATCTAGATTCTAGGTTACAAAATAGAGTGTCCAGTGAAATCACACCTTTCTACTTAAAAGTATGCAGAAAAAGCACTGGACCACTATTACTCGTGAAAAGTTAACTGGATGATCCTGGGTGGTGTTTTCACAGGTCTTTCTTTTATTGTCCTTATGTTTTGTTAGACTTTCTATGTGTTCTGCTGTGAACGTATTTTACCTTCATAATTTTGTTACAGTCTCACAGGCTGCTATAAAACTGCTGACCTTCACAGGGTGCTAGTAGGTGGCCCAAGGGAAGGCCTTGCGGAGATGGACATGGTTCCTTTCTCCACATTGATTTTGCTATGCACCTCCTGTGTGTCACTGGCTGGATTTATTTCCTGAATGTGGCTTCTTATTTAATTTTCCCAAATCTGGCCAATCATTAGAGTCCCTGAAGTCATGTGATAAAAATCAGATTTCCAGGCTTTACCTCAAACCTCCTGAATTAATCCTGGGGGTGGGTGAGGGTGGGGGGCTGAGAATCTGCTGCTGATTCAGTTCCAATTGCTGTTTTCAACTTCCTTGTCAACACACACAGATAATTTCACACCAGTGCATAGATGTAATCAGAACATCCACATTTGGGGTGGAGAATGGTCTTGTTTTCTTTCCTCTTTCTGTTTGGCTCCCTCTCCCAGGAGCCCCTTGTATGTGTCTGTCCAGTTTTCCCCTGGTGCTCCCAGAATCTTATATAGACATAACCATATGCTTACAAGTAGACTTTTTCTAAAACTTCATTATTTGTTTTACTAATTGAGTTCTCATTCTACCCGCTCATCTGCCAATTGCTTTTCTCACACGTTGTGGAAGTCCCTTCAGGTCCTCAGTGCAGCTTCAAGATGGCTGCATCCTGTTCCCAAGTAGACTCAGAGTTATAAACAAGGTCCTCTTGTTAATCTGATCATGAATAGAATGGAATCTAAAGATACAAATTCCCAAATGGTCTTACTGAAATGCAGAGTGAGATTCTAGTGTGAGGGACAGGTTGGGTGGGAGATGGTGAGGCTGCATCTGTCCACACGGGCCCAACTTCAGAGCACGTAGTCTTCCTGTCTGTTAAGTGAAGATACCTCCTGCCTTACACTGTGGTAGTTTCCCAGCCAACAGATGATCACTTGATTTGTGGAGGAAGGGTGATCCATGGACCACTCATGGGTTGGCAAGGCCAGGACTATAGCTAGACTCAAGGTAGAGTTTGAACAGGGACTGTTGTCCCCTCCCCTGACTACTGGTTCCCAGGGAAGCCAAGCCACTCTGTGGTAACCTCTGCATGTGGGTCCCTTTCAGGTTGAACCATGATTCCAGTGACGGAACTCCGCTACTTTGCGGACACACAGCCAGCTTACCGGATTCTGAAGCCGTGGTGGGACGTGTTCACCGATTACATCTCCATCGTTATGCTGATGATTGCTGTCTTTGGAGGGACACTGCAGGTCACCCAGGACAAGATGATCTGCCTGCCTTGTAAGTGGGTCACCAAAGACTCTTGCAACGACTCATTCCGGGGCTGGGCAGCCCCTAGCCCAGAGCCCACCTACCCCAATGCAACACTCCTGCCAAGCCCTGACACAGGCCCCACAGGGATCAAGTATGACCTGGACAGGCACCAGTACAACTATGTGGACGCTGTGTGCTACGAGAATCGACTGCACTGGTTTGCCAAGTACTTCCCCTACCTGGTGCTCCTGCATACTCTCATCTTCCTGGCCTGCAGCAATTTCTGGTTCAAGTTCCCACGTACCAGCTCTAAGCTGGAGCACTTTGTTTCCATCCTGCTTAAGTGCTTTGACTCACCGTGGACCACACGGGCCCTGTCGGAGACAGTAGTAGAGGAGAGCGACCCCAAGCCAGCCTTCAGCAAGATGAATGGCTCCATGGACAAGAAGTCATCCACAGTCAGCGAAGATGTGGAAGCGACTGTGCCCATGCTGCAGCGGACTAAGTCACGCATCGAGCAGGGCATCGTGGACCGCTCAGAGACGGGTGTGCTGGACAAGAAGGAAGGGGAGCAAGCCAAGGCACTGTTTGAGAAGGTGAAGAAGTTCCGGACCCATGTGGAAGAGGGAGACATTGTGTACCGCCTCTACATGCGACAGACCATCATCAAGGTGATCAAGTTCATCCTCATCATCTGCTACACAGTCTACTATGTGCACAACATCAAGTTTGACGTGGACTGCACTGTGGACATTGAGAGCCTAACAGGCTACCGTACCTACCGTTGTGCCCACCCTCTGGCCACACTCTTCAAGATCCTGGCATCCTTCTACATCAGCCTGGTCATTTTCTATGGTCTCATCTGCATGTACACACTGTGGTGGATGCTGCGGCGCTCCCTCAAAAAGTACTCGTTTGAGTCGATCCGTGAGGAGAGCAGCTACAGTGACATCCCTGACGTCAAGAATGACTTTGCCTTCATGCTCCACCTCATCGACCAGTACGACCCACTCTACTCGAAGCGCTTTGCTGTCTTCCTGTCGGAGGTGAGTGAGAACAAGCTGCGGCAGCTGAACCTCAACAATGAGTGGACGTTGGACAAGCTGCGACAGCGGCTCACCAAGAATGCACAGGACAAGCTGGAGCTGCACCTATTCATGCTCAGTGGCATCCCTGACACTGTGTTTGACCTGGTGGAACTGGAGGTGCTGAAGCTGGAACTGATCCCTGACGTGACCATCCCCCCAAGCATTGCCCAGCTCACTGGCCTCAAGGAGCTGTGGCTGTACCACACAGCGGCCAAGATTGAGGCTCCCGCCCTGGCCTTCCTACGGGAGAACCTGCGGGCATTGCACATCAAGTTCACTGACATTAAGGAGATCCCATTGTGGATCTACAGTCTGAAGACGCTGGAGGAGCTGCACTTGACAGGCAACCTGAGTGCAGAGAACAACCGCTACATCGTCATCGATGGACTGCGGGAGCTCAAACGCCTCAAGGTGCTACGGCTGAAGAGCAACCTGAGCAAGCTGCCACAGGTGGTCACCGACGTGGGTGTGCACCTGCAGAAGCTGTCCATCAACAATGAAGGCACCAAGCTCATCGTCCTCAACAGCCTCAAGAAGATGGTGAACTTGACGGAGCTGGAGCTGATCCGCTGTGACCTGGAGCGTATCCCTCACTCCATCTTCAGCCTCCACAACCTGCAGGAGATTGACCTCAAGGACAACAACCTTAAGACCATTGAGGAGATCATCAGCTTCCAGCATCTGCACCGCCTCACCTGCCTTAAGCTGTGGTACAACCACATTGCCTACATCCCCATCCAGATCGGCAACCTCACCAACCTTGAGCGCCTCTACCTGAACCGTAACAAGATTGAGAAGATCCCCACCCAGCTTTTCTACTGCCGCAAGCTGCGCTACCTGGACCTCAGCCACAACAACTTGACCTTCCTCCCTGCTGACATTGGCCTCCTGCAGAACCTCCAGAATCTGGCTGTCACGGCCAATCGGGTGAGTAGCCTGGCCTCTGCCCAGCACATGTGCTGACTGGTGAACTGGCTGTGTTAAGCTGCTCGGGAGGCTGGGTATGTCAGGACTGTCTGTTTAGACTCCCCGCATGCTGTTCTCAGAACCATCAAGGAGGGAACTTGTTAAAAATACATGTTCCTGGGTCCCATTCCAGACATGCTGAATCAGAATCTCGGGGTACGGGAGCCCAGTTTGTGTCTTTGCCACAAAATGCTACTGAGTTCTCCTGGCCAGGGTGGGGCTGGCAGCAGGGACGGCTCAGTCAGGTGGGGCCCTCACCAAGGTGCACTTTGAGCCAAGTTCCTCATAGGCAGGAATCTGCACGTGTAGGGCCTATGGTTCTCTCTCTCTGGAAGCTGGGTTGTAGAAGGTAGGACTTAGCCCGGAACCAAGGGGCCAGTCTGAGGCCACCAGGGATGGCGACTGTGTAGGTAGCTGGTGCTTGCTGAAGTGAAACCAAATTTTCTTTTTAGCTCCTAGGGTCACTCATATCCCCAGCCCCTCTGGCTTTTGGGGTCTGGTGAAGGCCAGAGTTGGGTAGGGGCTGGCTAGTTACCACCTGCCTTTCTGAAGGGGAAGCAGCAAATCACTGTGGTGGTTTGGGCAGGCGGTATGGGAGGCCACAGCCTCAAAAGCATTGGTGGCAGCAGGAGCCCATGTGTGCCAGCACCTTGCCTGGCTTCCACCCAGCTGGGATTGGAGTCACCTGAAGGAACCAGGGCTGGGAAAGTCCCCCACCTAATGTCCCTTCCCAGAGGTAAGCAGGTGGAGTTACAGGCAGGGTTCTCCTCTGGCTTTGTGGTCTGGGCTTCTGCATACTGGCTGTGGGTGTGACCTCCCCCATCCCCCCCATTTCCTGGGGACCTGCAGAAAAGTTGACAGAACAAGTCTTCATTCAGGGAGGTGATTCTTGTGGTTAGGGGAGTGGTAGTGGAAGTCTGAGGAGATGAAGGGGAGACCTGATTCAGCCCCACCTCTGCACACCCCTCACAGACAGTGGTGCTAAAAGCTGCCCCAGTTGACTTATTGAGCACTTGCTGAGGGTCACTCCTGTGCTGGGTATGATCCTCGCATTATCCTGCCGAGTCCTCCCCACAGGATGCTCTCTCCAGCGGTCTAGGCACAGAGGGAGAAGAGCTCTGGAAAAAACACACACACACACACATACACACACACTCCTCTCTGGCCCTGGGAGAAGCATCACTCAGACTGGAGGGTTCTGACACTCCTCAGACCATTGAGAAGCCTTTCCTCTTCTGCTTCTGCAAACTAACCTGTCTTCTCCATATTTTTGGGAGTGTGTCAAATTCCCTCCCTCAGATTATGACTAATGCACATGTGTATTAGAAAGGTTGAGTTACATCTCAAGTTGCTTTATTCCAGAAAATCCCTTGGGAGAGAAGCCAACTTTGAGACTCTGGAAAACTTAGCCCTCTCTTTAACATATGGAAGGAAGACTAAGCAGCTACCCCAGAGCACAGTGTTGGAGCTGACTCAGATTGTCCATTGAATGGGTGCTGACTTTTTTGTCATCCCACGCACAACCCTTTGTAATGAATGCCCTATTCCAGGTACCATACCACACCAGAGGCTTGACTTGCTCCCCTACTAGGTAGGGGAAGGTGTAGGACGACCTTCAGCCTGGCTCCCCATCCTGTCTTCACCCCTATCTCCTCATACCAAGCATGCCTGTTGGTTGAGGTCACCTCTCAGGAAAGGCACTGGTGGAGGAAGGAGACCCTCTGAACAGCCTGTTTAGCACACTGCTTAATCACATCCTGTCCCTGCCCCTGGAATGCCAGAGGCCTGTATGGGAAAAAGTTCGTTTGGGCCCATCTCATCCAGTCTCCTGCTTTTCAGCTTGAGGCCTAAACCTTTCTCTTTCATCACTCTCGGGGCTTGATGGCTCTTGTAAACCACCCTGGGTGGGGAAGGGACAGGATAGGTACAGGCCTGGACTTAGTCCCTTAAGTGTTACTTTCCCAGGTTTAAACTAATGATGCTAAGAAATATTTCCATCACTTATCTATCAGTTTGTCATAGCATGTTGCTGTCATGCTAAGAGCTATACCACTGGTGTTTCAGGTACTACCAGGGTCACCAGTGGTGGATAGGTTTCAGTCGTGCTTCCAGACTAAGACAGACTAGGAAGAAAGACCTGGCAATCTGTTTCTAAAAAAGGCCATGAAAACCATATGAATAGCAGCTGAACATTGATACAGTATCAGAAGATGAGCCCCTCAGGTTGAAAGACACTCAGAGTATGACTAGGAAAGAGCTACCTCCTCAAAGTGGAGTCACCTTAATGATGTGGATGGAGTAAAACTTTCAGGACCTCCATTTGCTGATGTGGCACAACTCAAAATGAGAAGAAACAGCAGCAAACATCCAGTAATATCTGAATGTAGAATGTATGAAGTATGAATCTAGGAAAGTTAGAAGTTGTCAAAAAGTAATGTAACAGTTGAAAATAAATATACTAGGCATTAGTGAGCTGAAATGGACAGGTATTTGGCATTTTGATCATATAGTCATATGGTCTACTATGCTGGGAATGAAAAATTGAAGAGGAATGTTGTCGAAGTCATTGTCGAAAAGAACATTTCAGGATCTGTCCTGAAGTACAATGCTGTCAGTGATAGAATACTATTCACATGCCTATAACAATACAGTGATTAAGTTACACACCAAAGATGAAGAACTTGAAGATTTTTACCAACTTCTATAGTCTAAAATTGATCAAACATGCAACCAAGATGCATTGATAATTACTAGTGGTTGGAATGTGAAAGTTGGAAACAAAGAAGGGCCCTTAATTGGAAAATATGGCCTTGGTGATAGAAATGACAAGAGATCACATGATAGAATTTTACAAAACCAATTATTTATTCATTGCAAATACCTTTTTTTTTTTTTAAATAACATAAACCACTTTGCCAGATGGAATAGACCGGAATCAAATCAACTACATCTGTGGAAAGAAATGATGGAGAAAAGCTCAGTATTATCAGTTAGAATAAGGCCAGGGGCCAACTGCAGAACAGACCATCAGTTGCTCATCTGCAAGTTAAAGTTGAAGCTGAAGAAAATGAAAACAACTTCATGAGAGCCAAAGTATGACCTTGAGTATATCCCACCTAGGAGCTCTAATGGCGTAGTGCTTAAGTCATTTGACTGCTAACCAAAAGGCTGGCAGTTCAAACCCACCAGCCACTCCTTGGAAGGAAGGGTGGGCAATATACTTTCATTGTGATACTGCCTCAGAACCCCAAGGGTCGCTATGAGTTGGATCTGACTTGATGGCAATGAGTTTTTTTTTATATATCCCACCTAAATTTAGAGATTATCTTAAGAATAGATTTGATGCATAGAACACTAGTGACTGAAAACCAGACAGGTTGTAGAATTACATCAAGAATATCATTCATGAAGAAAGCAAAAGGTCATTAAAAAGACAGGAAAGAAAAAGAAGACCAAAATGAATATCAGAAGAGACTCTGAAACTTGCTGTTGAACATAGAGTAGCTAAAGCGAATGGAGGAAATGAGGAAGTAAAAAGCTGAACAGACTTCAAAGGGTGGCTCAAGAAGACAAAGTGTTTTAATGAAATGTGCAGAGACCTAGAGTTAGAAAACCAAAAGAGAAGGACATGTTCAGCATTTCTCAAGCTGAAAGAATTGAAGAAAAAAATTAGAGCTTTGAGTTGCAATATTGAAGGATTTGATGAGCAAGATATTGAACAACACAGGATCTAAAGAAGATGAATACATGGGAGAAGGAAGGGCTGCTTATGCACAGGGAGATAGCTCAGGGTGCAGAAAGTATGAAGGGATGGACACTGGGAGGAGGTAACTATGGGGAGGAAGTGGGAGGGGAGCTGCTGCATTGTAAATTTTGGTCAATGACATGAGACAAAGTATATGTGAACTGCTGTATGAAAAGTGAATTTACTCTGTAAATCTTCACCCAAATCCTAATAAAAAAAAAAAAAAAAGATGAATACACAAAGTCATTGTACCAAAAAAAAAAAAAAAATTGATCAGCATTCAGTCGTTTCAGGAGGTATAGCATATGATCAAGAACTGATGGTATTAAAGGGAGAAGTCCAAGCTGCATTGAAGGCATTGGTGAAAAACAAGCCTCCAGGGATTGACAGAATACCAATTTAGATGTTTCAAGAAACACTGGAAGCACTTACTCATCTATGCCAAGAAATTTGAAAGGCAACCACCTGGCCAACTAACTGTAAGACATCCATATTTTGTGCACTTTTCAAAGAAAGATGATTAAGGAGAATGTGGAAATTATAACACAATATCATCAATATCACACACAGGTAAAAATTTGCTGAAGATAATTAAAAAATAGTTGTAGCAATATATCAACAGGGAAGTGCTAGAAATTCAGTCAAGCTGGATTCAGAAGAAGGCATGGAACAAGGAATATCATTGCTGATATCAGATAGATCTTGGATGAAAGCAGAGAATACCAGAAAGATGTTTACTTGTTTTATTGACCATGCAAAGACATATGACTGTGTATGGATCATAACGAATTATAGATAATATTGTGAAGAATGGGAATTCCAGAACACTTAATTGTGCTCATGTGGAACCTGTACATAGACCAGGTGACAGTCATTTGAAGCAAAACAAAGAGATACTGCATGGTTTAAAATCAGAAAGGGTGTGCATTAGGGTTGTATCCTTTCACCATACTTATTCAATCTGTATGCTGAGTACATGATCCAAGAAGCAGGACTATATGAAGAAGAACACAGCATCATGGAGGAAGACTTATTAACAACTGCAGTATGCAGAAAATACAACCTTGCTTGCTGAAAGTGAAGAGGACTTGAAGCATTTACTGATGATCGAAGACTACAGCCTTTAGTGTGGATTACACTGCAAAAAATAAAAAATCTTCACAACTGGTCCAATAAACATCATAGTAAACAGAGAAAAGTTTGAAGTTGTCAGGGATTTCATTTTACTTTGATCTGCAGTCAACGCCATGGAAACAGCAGTCAAAAAATCAAATTATATACTGCATTGGGCAGATCTGCTGCAAAAGACCGCTTTAAAAGTGTTCAGAAGCACAGATGTCACTTTGAGGACTAAGATGCACCTGACCCAACCCATGGTATTTTCATCACTTCCTATGCACGTGAAAGTTGGACATTGAATAAGTAAGACTGAAGAAGAATTGATGCATTTGAATTTTGGTCTTGGTGAAGAGTATTGAATATACCATGAACTGCAAGAAGAATGAAGAAATCTATCTTAGAAGAAGTACAGCCAGAATGCTCCTTATAAGCGAGGATGATGAAAATTTCGTCTTACGTATTTTGGACATGTTCTCAGGAAGGACCAGGCCCTGGAGAAGGTTGTCATGCTCAGTAGGAAAATAAAAAAACAAACTCATTGCCATCGAGTCGATTCCAACTCATAGCAACCCCCTTTGGGTTTCAGAAGCAGTAAATCTTTATGGAGATAGATTGCCCAGTCTTGCTTCTTCAGAGTGGCTGGTGGGTTTGAACCGCCAACCTTCTGGTTTGCGGTCAGGTGCCTTAGGCACTATACCACCAGAGCTCCTTAGAGCTCAGTAGAAGGTTAGAGTAAAAGAGAAAGATTCTTAAGGAGATGGATTGACACAATGGCTGCAACAGTGGCCTCAAATGTAGTAGTGAGATAGCACAGGACCAGGCAGTGTTTGGTTCTGTTGTATGTAGATCTCTGTCAGTCGGAATCAACTTCAGAGCACTAGTAACAACAAAGGAATACCTTGGCGTGGAAGGTATTTATTTGTTCATTCATTTGTTTATTAACTCAGCAATTAAAATTTTTTTTTTTTTGTTATTGAGAGTATACATAGCAGAATATGCACCAATTCAACAATTTCTATGTGTACAATTTAGTGACATTGATCATGTTCAAGTTGTGCAGCCATTCTCGCCCTCCATTTCCATTTTATTCCTCCTCATTAACATAAGCTCATTGCCTCCTAAGTTTCCTATCCAATCTTTTGAGTTGCTTTTGTCAGTTTAATTACGTATAACCAAAAAACCAAACTCACTGCCTTGAGTCAGATCCGACTCATAGCAACCCCTCCTTGTGTTTCCAACGCAGTATCACTGCGGTATCACTACAGAAGTAGATTGCCCTATCTTCCTTCCAAGGAGTGGCTGGTGGGTTTGAACCAGCAGCCTTCTGGTTAGCAGTCAAATGCTTTAGGCACCACATCACCAGAGCTCCTTAACTATGTATAGCTAGTCCTTAAAAGAGCAAGATGCTCAAGGCAGACATTGTTTACTAGTTAAGTTAAACTGTTTGGTTTTAAGAAGACTTCAGGGAATGTTTTGAGTATAAGGTTTAAAGATTGTCTCAGAACAATAGTTTTAGGAGTTCATTCTGCCTCAGTGGTTCCAGAAAGTTTGGATCTATGAGAATTTGAAATTCTGTTGTGCACTTTCCCCATTTTGATCAGAATTCTTCTATAGAATCTTCGAACAATATGTTCAGTTGTAGTAGCCAGGCATCATCCAGTTCTGGTCTCGTGGCAGAGGGTAAATGTTTTTTTTGAGCACTCCTATAGGTGCCTAAGGAGCTCTGGTAGCATAATGGCTAAAGCGCTTGACTGCTAACCAGAAGGCTGGTGGTTCAAACCCACCAGCCACTCCTCGGAAGGAAGGTTGGGCAATCCTACTTCCGTAGTGATACTGTCTCAGAAACCCAAGGAGGGGTCGCTATGAGTCGGGGCCGACTCGACGGCACATAACAACAACAACAACATAGTCCAGCTATGAAGCAAGATGCTAGGGACTTGAGGAGGAACAAGACCCACTCCTTGCCCCTACTGAGCTGATCATCTTGTGGGGAAAGACAAGTAAAAAGGCAGTTAGCACCCTATGTGAGAAGAGCTACTCTTGGGAGCACAAAGGAGTGATCCCAACCCAGACTTAACCCAGGGCAGGGTGGCCTTCTGAAGAAAGGGGCATTTTACTTGTTCCCTGAAAGAAGAGAAGGAATTAGCCAGGTGAAGAAGAAGGAGTCTAGTACATTCTGCTTGTCGGGAACTGAAAGGTGACTGGGCAGGCCAAAGGTTGGGGAGAAAGGAGCAGAGGGATATGCTGCCCCTGGAATCTGGACTTTATCTTGGGGGCAGAGATGGGGCTGTCTGCAAAATGGCAGAATCCTGGTCTTTTCCACTTAAATTTCAACTGCATTTTCATTTCCCTTTATCAGGCCATGAGCTCTGAAAGCAGGGATCTTTGCTGTTTTGTTCAGTGCCTGACTTGTAGCAAATGTGTACCAAATTCTTGTTGATGGAGTGGGTAAAGAAGTGAGCAGACTTGCATCTTGAGAAATTACTGTTGCTGCAGTGAGGAGGGGTGGATCTGAGGGGGCAGGATGAGAGGTCGAGAGCTCAGTTAGGAGACCTTGTGTAGCCATTGGTGAGGGGGGAGACTGCTTGAACTGGGAGAGGCTGCTAGGGATGAAGAGACATGGATGGACGTGGTAGAGATTCTGGAGGTAGAACCCATAGACATGGGGATGAATGGGATGTGGGGAGTAGAGGTAGGGGAGGTCTGGGGTAGTTTGCGCATTTCTCACTTGGCTTCCTAGGTAGATGAAAGATCAGTGATGTGGGACAGGAAGAAGCACAGGCCTGTGGAGGGGAGAGGGTGTGTCCTGTGTTGGGTGTTGAATAGGCCTAAAATGCAAGGAGTCATCATCCCATGGCATATGGGTGAAACTGGGATTCTTGAGATCACTGGGAAAATGTGGAGGGATTAGGGAGAGAGTCTGGCCAGAGCCTGAGGGGTAGACTTTGAAAGAGGAAGACCAGGCAGGCATGTGGCGGATCTCAGGGCTAGGAGGAGTCAAGTAAGAGGAGAATGGATTTCATTCTAGTAGATTAGGAACAACAGTTAGTGACCTTGGCCAGATCACAGTGGACCAAGGAGAGAAATACATCTTTCCAGATGTTTGATCCTGAAGTTCAGAGAGCCATGGGGGTGAGCAGTCAAAGAAGGTTCCTGGGAGGGTTGTCTTTTTTCCGAGACCTGTGAACTTTAGGCCACTTAAATGCTGATGGAGTAGCATAGGCACATGAGGTCCTTGAGGTGGTGGTAGAGGATGGGATCAGGGGTGCTGAACAAGTGACACTTCTAGAGGGGGGGATAGGTCCAAAGGACGGGTGTGACTATAGTAGGGAGTCAAGTGACTGGATGTGCTCGCCTTTCTTTGTGGATCTGGAGGGAGTTCACCAGGAAAGGGGAGGTTATGTCATGGAGAGGGAGACATTCTGGGGAACCAGCCGTAAAAGGAACTTGCCCAGGGTTATGCTGCAAATGAGCACCCTGTTTGGCAGAATGAGAACAGAGCACAGGCTCTGAGTCGAGGAAGAAAGACTTAAACCTGCCTTGGTCTCTGTAGCCTCTGGGCCTTGGTCTCTGTAGGAGGAAGATGGAGACAGTGACAGAGCACCCTCAGGGTGGCTGCTGCACAGTCTCCCGCCATCGTCCCATGGAATCAGGGCTCACACCTCCTGACTCCTGCCCTGCTGTGAAGGTCCCTCCTGCCCATGAGAGCTGGAAGGGGCAATTTTAAGACAATAGACCTAATAAGGATTCACATTTATAACTCAGCACTCACAGAAGGGCAGGGGAAGAAACTGGCATTTATGGAGCTCCTCTGTGTACAAGTAGAATCTTCGTATCCCCACTTTGGCCCCACTGTTTGTGCCAGCAACTGTGTGCACAGATCGCATGGTTCAGAACATGGACTGCTGAACCAGCCAGCTCACCTGGCTCTGCCAGTTCTGAGCTGCAGAGCTCTGCACAAGCTAGCTTCTCTAGGGCCTCAGTTTCCCTGTCTGTAAAATGGGAAGAGTATTTACAAATGGTTGTGAAGGTTAAATGAATTCACTGTAGTAGTACTCAGAGCAGAACCTGTAGTGACAGTGCTTCCTGTTGAGCTGTTTCTGTTGTTAAGCAGCACATGGTGTTGCCTGTCATTCACATCTACAAATCAGAACAAGGGTTCTGAATGGCCAGTACTGGGCCCCCTGCACTCGTGATCAGCCTGTGACTTGACAGATGAGGAAATTGTAAGCTCTCCCCAGTTCTCAGAAACAGTTTAAGGTATAGCATTTTCTCAGCGTGCTGCTCTGCATTGATAAACCTTGGCAGCTATGACCAATAGCCTTGCCTGGCTCATGGTGAGCCCTGGGGTGGAGGGCTGGCTAGGATTATATGCTTCTTACCATGCCAGGTGCTGGGAGACAGCAGGGAACAAGGCAGATCCAGCCCTGCCTTGTTAAAGAGCCCGTAGCCCAGGGGCTGACAGGTCACCAGGCAGTTTCACAACAGAGGGAGCAGGTGGGAACATGGATGCCACAGGTTACTGAGGAGAATGTCAGAGAAGGCTTTCTGGAGGAAGTGACTGCTGAGCTGAAACCTAATGGGCAGGTAGAAGATAGCCAGACGTTAGCCCAGGTGGTGCTGGAATGAGCATCAGAGAAGGTACTGGTGCCTGGGAGAGGGGAGCCCTGGGCCAGGAGGCTCCCCAGCGTGAGCCACACACAGCTCACTTTTGCCCTCTGCTCCTTCCCCTCCAGATTGAGGCCCTTCCACCAGAGCTCTTCCAGTGCCGGAAGCTGCGAGCCCTGCACCTCGGCAACAATGTGCTGCAGTCACTGCCCTCGCGTGTGGGCGAGCTGACCAACCTGACCCAAATCGAGCTGCGAGGCAACCGGCTGGAGTGCCTGCCTGTGGAGCTGGGCGAGTGCCCGCTGCTCAAGCGCAGTGGCCTGGTGGTGGAGGAGGACCTGTTCAACACATTGCCACCCGAGGTGAAGGAACGGCTCTGGAGGGCCGACAAGGAGCAGGCCTGAGTGCTGGCAGCCAGTCGCAGCACGGGGTTGGCCCAGAGCAGTCAGCAGCGGGACAACGAGGAGTCCTCAGGCCCAGGATGGCCAGGCTCTGCTCCTCCCAGAAGTACAGGGACAGAGAGCCCAGCCTCTTGGCCGGGCAGGAGCCTCACAGGATGTGAGCTGGGCCAGGGCGAGAGGACAGTACACGAGGGGCTGGCCCCTTTTCTCCCTCTGAGACTCAGCCCCCCAGGGCAGGCGCCTGTTTGGGGAGATCAGAGGACTGCGCAGTATTTGGACAATCAGGGCCTCCTCAGTGGAAGCCATTTCTGCCACAGAGGCTGAGCCGACGCCAGAGGTCCAGGGACACCTACTTAGCTCTTGGTATTTATTTTTCTCTACATCCCATCTCCTCCCTCCAGATAACTTATACATTCCCAAGGAAGTGCAGCTCAGATGGAGGGTGTCTGTGGAAGGGTGGGCTGTGTCTCCCCTTTTCCCTTTTTAGTGACACCACTGGTGTTTAGTGCCACCCAGAATTGAGCAACAGGGTCCAGAGTGAACCAGCTGTGGGATGGTCACCCCCACTGGTGCTGGTCTGGGCTCTGGTGGCACAGCCTGTGGGAGAGCAGGCTGCCAGGTGAAAAGGCCAGGCCTGGGGCCGGCCTCATCAGTTTTTTGTGGCAATTTCTTTTTTTTTTTTTTTTCAAAGCTTTGACAATGGATGGTTTGGGTATTAAAAGAGAAAAAAAACTAACTAAAAAAAAAAAAAGACACTAAAGGCCAGTGAGTTGGAGTCTCAGGGCGCGGTGGCTGTTTCCCTTGAGCAAAGAAGCAAGACATTGAATTGTGTTTCCTTTCCCTGGGGTGTGGGGCGCAGGATGTCTTCCGAACCTGATGTGACCTTGGTCTAGTTCTGTTTGTTCCTCTCCTTGCCTGGGGCAGGGTGGTGGTTTTTAATTTTTTTTTTGGGGGGGGGTGTATTTTCTTTCTTTTCCACTTGGCTTGGCAGGCACTTATTTCTGTGGCTGTTGGCCAAAGGGAATGTTCTAGAACTGCCAAGAAGGGAAGAAAATTGGGTTGGCTAATCCCCAGATGATGGTGCTCCATCCCTTCCTTCCCTGATGCACCTTCCCCGCTCTGCACACAGTGTTAAGGAGCCGAGAGGAGCTACTTCACCTGGACTCTGTTTTTCGCCTCATGACTTGGGTTTGCCCAATGCCACCACTAGCTTCAGCTGCTTACATCAGCCCTGTCACCACCTGATCCTTCAGAATGGACACTTAGAGGCAGGGTTGGGTGGGGAGGTCACACTGGGAGGGCAAGCACCCCAGTGTTTGGTTTCAAGCCAGCTTCTGTCCAGGGCACCTGGCACACACACAGCACAGTCAGCACCTGGTATCAGGAAGCCACCTTGCTTTTAATCAGTCACTTGGTTCCCCGCCTTAGAAGGGTCCCTGCCTTAGAGCAATTGCTCAGACACTAAGGCACATTTTAGCGTCTCTTGTCTTAATGAGTATGTCTATCTGTTTATCCATTTGTGTTTTCTGCGTTGTGTCATCAGATGTAACCCTCAGAAATAATGCACACTAGGCTCTCACAACCATGAAGCAATCCGTTATTTTGGGGTCTGAACTTGTAGACTCGATTCAAATATAAAATAAATCTATAACAGAAAGTAACCTTCGGAGGTTGCCTTGTCGTGGGAGACTCTTTCCCTCAACTCTCTGAGGCCTACTGGGCCTTGTCAAGTAGTTTGTTGAGTGACCATTTATTGGACTCCTGCAGAATAGTTAACTCTGTTCATCTCACCGCCCTGATAAACCGTAAGCTCCTTGAAGGCGGGCACTGGAGGTTTGGAGCTGGACATGAGCTGGATGAAGTGTCTGTTACATGCCAGGCACAAGGTGATCCCACAGCCAACACATTGTCAGCCTTTTCGGTTGCTTGTGGTTTATGCTCTAAGGAACTTTGATGTGTGGGGACAGGGAGAGGAGGGCATTGAAATGGAATCCAGCCACCCCAAGTTTCTGTCCTGGCTTAGTCATCCCTTGTATGAAGCTGGGCAGATGCCTTGCCTCCCGTGTCCTCAGTATCTCCGTTGGTACAATGGTCATTCCACTTAGTGCTCTCAGAGGCCCTTTACAATTTCAACAGCAAGTCTCCACGGCTCCACAGAGGTGGGCCAAGAGTCCCCATGTGAGCATCTGACTGGGCTGTCAGAGCAGAAGCTCAGGGAGGTGGGCAGAACTCCCTGCAGATCCCAGCTCTGCCACTTACTTGATGTGGGGTCTCCTTTTCCTTATTTGTAAATCATGATGATGGGTCCAGTTATACAGGTTGGTGAAGTTTTTAAAAGCAGAGGGCCTGGCTTCCCGTACCCAGTAAATGCTGTCATATCTTCCTTCTGGACTAGGGAGGCTTGGGCTAGACTGGCGTGAGGGCCTGGAGGTGAGTTTTTGGTGAGGAGGAAAGCCCATTTTATCTGAGCTTGTCCTTGATCTTAGTGATGGGAATGGAGTTGCTGTTTGGATACCTCCTCTGGAACAGACTGGAGTCTGTCCTTCCTCTCTGCATGGGGACTCTGATCCACGTGACCTCAGGACTGAGCTGAAACCCCTTTTTCTGTCCCAGTTGTGAGCTTTCTAATAGGGAGGCTGAGCAGCTAAGCTGCACCCCCCTCTGAAACCTCCTTTTGTGTTTCCTCAGTGGAGCTCTTCCCCTCCTGTCTGGGCTCTTGCCCTTCTCACCAAGCCCTACCACCTCACCCCCCACCACCACCCCTCAGCCTTGGAGCCACCCAATGCCCAGAGCTCAAGGCTTGGATCTGGAGCTGATTAGCATTTGGAAAAAACAACAGTGGGGAAATCACCACCCACCTACTTCCCAAAGCCTAAGCAGAATGAACAAATAGTGGGAAACAGAAACATGCCTCTCATTCTGAACCTCCTCCTTAAGCTGAAGGTTATTCCCCTCCCCTTAAAACACAGTGATTACAAGAGCAAATTTGGAAAACTTGGGAAAGCTCAAAAAATAGATAAAAATGCCCTCAGTTTCCACTACCCAGAAGAGCTCCTGCTAACGTTTGGTGAACAACTTAACATCAGTAGGCACTGTGCCGAGCTCTTTATCTTTAGTAAAACATTGGTTTATTCAGCCCTCATAAGGAGACACCTCTGATATTCCAAATTACAGAAGGTGAAGTAAGGCCAAACACTGGATTTACACAACTCATTCTTGCCGTTTAATGTTACATAAATTTGCCTTCAGTTTGAAAGGATTAAACCAACCTTTACTTGTGACAAATGCTTCATCACTTCACTTGCTGTACATGCAGCTTTTAAATTATTGAAAAGGTTTCAAGCTTTTTCTTGCGCTAAAGTAAGGCTAAATAAGAGCCGTATGCCCTGTTCGGACATACCTACAGTTTCAACTTAAAGACATACTTAGAAACAGATCTTGTTCGTAACCAGGGACTACTTACCAACCCTTTACTGCTAGCCTTTCTGAGTAAGAAAGGGAATTCCAAGGAGAGTTGCCCCCTATGCCAGAGTGGCCCAGCCTGAGGGACCTTGACAACCGGGAATGCACCCTGCCTCAAGTGAGCCAGGTCTCAACTGTGTCTCCGTCCTGGTTCCTCTTTACCCTGCTCCCTTCACCTAGCCTAACCCTGCTGAACCTCTTCACCAGCCGAAGGAGGAGGGAAGAGAAGGGAAGCATACTGTTCCTGGCCCTCCGGAAGCCTGGACAGCCTGGACAAAGCAGCAGCTCCCAGCGCTGTGGCCCAGAAAACACTGCTTGACTTGGGGCCAAGTCACTCCCAAGACACTCTGTCCCTTCGCCATTCAGAAAGCTGTCATTTCAGGGAAGGCCAGTGGCTGGTTTTTCAGAAGCTGCAGCAGCCAAAGAGCAGCTCTGTCAGCTGCCCAGAGGACTGGCTGGGGGAGGGTGGGTGTGCTTGTGCTGTTCTGACCTCCAGGCCACTTGAGACACCAAACAGCTCGGGCCGCCCGGGGGTGGGGAAGAGAGCCATGGGCTTCTCCCTCATTCTGAAAACAGCCTCCACTCTCTAGCCCCTTCCTCTTTCCAAATGAGATATCCCTCACCTTGTACCTTTTCCTCTGAGCTACAGACTGATCTGTAAATTCCCTCTGTAATCTTCCCAGGCCTGAAACTTCTGGGATATCAGAGCTGGGAGGGGCCATGGACAGTTCTTTGGAGGACTTCTTCACCTTTGGAATGCAAAGTAATTCAGGGCCTGGTCACCTTAGACCCATCCCTTGTCCCCACCTAGATGATACTGGTGGTTTGGGAACCTTCTAATCCTCCCTTGAGGTGGGTTCATCAGAGGTCATAGGCAGTGGTGGTGTAACCTCCTAAAACAGGGTATCTGCTGCTCTTACTCTGGTTAAGAATAACTCAGAGGCAAGCAGATTGGGGTTTTCAGCATAACTTTTATTATTTGCAGCAAATAAGGAGACACAGGGAATATTTTCTCAAAGCTCTGTCTCTACTAACAAAAGCAGTTAGGGAAGTTTTAAAGCCTACGGGCAAGTGGAAAGTTATACGTATTGAAAGCTTTTGGGGAGATGTCATGCCTTATTCCTAGGGGCAAGGGTTATAGCTCGGAAGAGGCTGATGGACCCCTCGCTTCTGAAATGGGTCAGTGTAGCACCAATGACTTTTGGTTCCTTGACAGTTTTAATGTTCTGGGTTCTGCTAGGGGGTAGAGTTGTTATTTCTACGCATACTCCTGGGTCTGCATGGGACCAGTTCAGAATTTATGGTTGAAAGGTGTCTGTAAGCAGGAGGGTCGGCAGGAAGTGTGGTGGGGGTATTTCTTTCTAGTAGGCTGATGAGGCCTTGTTTATTGCCTATGTTCCCCCTAGGTCCCATCCTCAGCAGTGATAAGAGGCTTTCTCTCTAGTTTAGCTGACCTCAGAGATTTAAAAAAAAAAAAAAAAAATTCTTTTCTAAACTTGCTGGCTTCAGTGGCTCCAGGATTGGAACTCAAGTGTCCTTGTACCTACCCAGCTTCATTGCCCCAGCTCTCTCAGAACACCATTTCTGGGCACCTGGTAAGTAGCCAGGAGTGGTTTCTGGAAAGAAGCAGGGAGGGGGTGGTTAAAAATCCTGAAGGGGCTGTTGTTGTTGTTGTTGTTATGTGCCATCAAGTCAAACCCGACTCATAGCGACCCCTCCTTGGGTTTTCGAGGCAGTATCACTACGGAAGTAGGATTGCCCAACCTTCCTTCCGAGGAGTGGCTGGTGGGTTTGAACCGCCAGCCGTCTGGTTAGCAGGCAAGTGTCTTAGCCACTATGCTACCAGAGCTCCTGGGAGAGGGCTAATCCTGGATTAGCAGTGGGGGAAGGGCCCAGGATATGGAGCTGGAGGGAAGGCAAGGGCCACTGCCTCATTCAGGGGCAAGAGAAGTGAGATGGAGCTGGAGGCCTGAGGCTGGGCCTAGAGAGGTCCCAGGGCAGTCTGTGTGCGTTTGGGGGACTTGAGTGGTGGGACTGGATTTTCTCTAGGTATGTTACCCAACACACAATGGGCTCACCACTTTAACTCAAACAAGAGTTATTGAGATAAGTGGAATGAATGAGATGGATTTTACTTGGCACAAGAAAGGCAGCAAGAATAATACCTCAAAGGTCTGTCTCCCTGGACAGAAGCATTTATGGGAGTTTTACAATATACTGGACAAGTGGGGAGTTACATATATTCAAAGTTTTGGGGGAGGAGTCATGCCTTATTCATAGGGGTGGGGTTATAGCTTAGCATGGAAGTGGCCAGTGGACCCTTTGCTTCTGAAATGGGTCCGTGTAGCACCAGTGATAAAGTTTCTGTGACTTTTGGTTCCTTGATGATGTGAGTCTCAACATTCTAGGGTCAGCAAAAAGGGTAAGAGTGTTGTGTTTGCACTTGTGGGTTCGGGTTGAGTAGTTGTAGGTAAACAACTTTAGGTGTATTATCTTTAAGATAAAGGAACTATGCAGGTGTTAGCTTCAGGAGAGGCAATTAGTGACTTAGCTTTAGAAAAAATGGTTATCATTTAGCCTCAAGACTCTCTGTTACATGACCTTATGCCAGCTTTATAAAGCAGAGCAGCCTGTCCTCTCTGTCTCAGGTAGGGAAGGGTTAAGTCCTCCTGGTCTTCTGGGCTTCAGTTAGCCACTCCTCCTGAACTTTCTCCTTTCCAGCCCCTGGGCACACTGACACCCACAGCCATCGTGCGCCCTGCAGCTTTATTCCCATGGCCTGCCTGAGCCCTTCTCAGCTCCAGAAGGTAGGGGCCTGCAAGGTGGGGGACCAGGAGGGACAGAAAAAAAAGGGGGGGGGGCGAGCGGACCATGAGTCATCTCCAGGAACTTAGTGCCACCTCCTGCTATTTTAAGGCAGAGAAAACTGAGGCCCAGAGGGGTCAATCCTCAACCACCAACTCTGACTTCTGCACAAACAGTCCTAGGTGTCCAGGTCACAGGAACCAGGGTGTGTGTGTTTGTGTCTGAAACGTGAATAAAGTGTGTGTATGTGTGTGTGTGTGTGAGAGAGAGAGAGAGAGAAACCGAAAGGGGAATAAAGCACGGGATCAGCGGTTCGGCCCTGGCCACTCCAACAGGGAGTGGGGCCCTGAGGAGTCAGCCTCTTCCAGCAGCAGGTGAGGGCACCCTCCCTTGACCCACATCCAGTCACCACAGTTTAACCCATGAGGGTTAGAACGACATAGACTTAAAAAACGTGACCCTTGTTTGTACCCGATGGCATGAGAAAAATGCATAAAAATACAGAAAAGCTCAGAGAAGAAAATGAAACCATCCGTAAATTCCCATGGCCAAGATGGTTAACAGTCAGCCCTAGCTCTTATCTATCTGCCATTCAGTGAACGCTTGCCTTAGATCTACAAAGGACATACTGTACTATCCCGGAGTCTGAATGCTGCAAATGGTTAAGTGCTCCACTGCTAGCTGGAAGGTTGGCAGTTCAGATTCCTCTAGAGGTTCCTGGCTATCTGCTTCTGAAAGGTTACAGCCTTGAAAACCCTGTGAAGCACAGTTCCACTTCCGCACACACTGTGGGGTCACTGAGTCAGAATCCACTTCACAGCAATTAGCATCAACAACACTAGCAAAGCTGCTGGGTGCAAGTTGGCACTTGGCAGTTTGAACCCATGCGGCAGCATAGAGGAAGAAAGGCCTGGCAGTCTGCTACCATAGTGATTACAACCAAGCACACCCTGGTAGCAGTTCTACTCGGCAACACACGGGGTCACAGCGTGAGTCAGAGTTGAGTCAGAGGTAACTGTTTTTTCGTTTATGTTATCCCTATTTGATGGTCTGAGGGCCAGAGAAGGGCAGCCACTTGCCCAGGTTCCCACAGTGGAAAACGTAGCAGTTCCTAGCTGGCTTATTTTCCTTTCAGGAACATATCCCATGCCAGTAAATGTTTTTTTCTACAGCATGATTCCTTTCAGCTGCTTGTGTTCCAGGGTCAAGAAAGTGTAATTTGTCTAATCCTCTTGTGCTGAGCTTTCAGGATGTTTCCAACTTAATGTTTTCATTAAACAATGCCAGTCACTCCCCTCGTATTTCCATCGTTGCTTCTGCATGTGTTAAGCCCAAAGGAAGAATTCCTAGCAGCTTGTTTACTGGATCGAAGGTCTGCACAGTTTGTTGTGGATGGTCCATTTCCCAGGAAGGCAGTTTCCAGCTTCATGTGGATATGAGGATTATGTTCCCAATTTGCAAAGCTGCCCAGAGACAGGAGGGCTGGATTGGGCGGTGGTGAATGTTCTAGTCTGTGGTGTGTGGAAGCCAGACCTGTACATCCAGGAAGAGGGACAAGAGGTGGGGTATAACTGGAAATTAGACCCTTCAAGGTGGGTTCAAGAACCAGGTTTGCTGGTCTGACAGAGCCTGGTGGAACCCCTGAGACTATGACCCCTAGCTGCCCTTCAGGTCTGGAATTGAATGCACCCCTGTGGCTTCCAGCCAAACAAAAGACAGGCATATGAGTTGAACATGTACCTGAGGTAGATACACTCCTTGAAGAGAACAATCATGGAAGAATGAAGGGCTGTTTATGCACAGGGAGACAGCTCAGGGGGCAGGAGTGCATGGAGGGACAGACACAGGGAAGAGGTAACTATGGGGAGGAAGTGGGAGGGGAGCTGTTGCATTGTGGTAAATTGTAGTCAGTGTCATGAGACAAACTGTATGTGAATGGTTGTATGGAAAGTGAATTTGCTCTGTACATTTTCACCCAAATCACAATTAAAAAAAAGTGGGTTCAAGAGGTGGTTTGTAATATCCCTGTTAAGGCTAGGACTTTATAATGCTCTGCAAGCAAACATGCAGATGTTCTTTCTCTTCTGTCTCTCTTTTTTTAAAAGAATAATTTTACTATGATTTGGACAAAAGTTCACAGAACAATTTCATCTTCCATACTTCAGTTCACATACACTTGTCTCATGACATTGTTCTGTCTTTCTCTTAGTAGCCTCAGCATATGAGGCTTTAACGCCCCCACTAGCTGTCTGCTGCACTCAAGGTGAAGCCCAATACCTTGCTTGTGCCTGCAAGGGCCCTTGCTAACCTCCTGCCTCACTGCTGCCCCAGCCTCATTCTGAGCTCCCTCCTCGCATTCTCCATTCTCGGGGCTTCCCACACCCTGTTCCCTCTGTCTAGATTGCCCCTCCCTATCGCTTCACCTGCAGACTCCCATTTTCCTGCAGATCCCCTCTTTAAATGCCACTTTCTCAGAACTCCTGCCCCGAGACTCTTCCATTCCCCCACTTGGTTTACTTAAATTAAGGCCTATCATTTGTTCTTTTTGTTGTTGTTGAGAATATGCACAGCAAAACAGAAACCAATTCAACTGTTTCTACATGTCTGATTCAGTGACATTGATTATGTCCTTCAACACATGCAACCATTCTTACCCTCCTTTTCTGAGCTGCTCTTTTCTGAGTTTTCCCCCATTAACTCATCCCCATAAGCTCCCTATCTAATCTTTCAAGTTGATGTTGTCACTTTGATCCCATATCAATAAAAAATGAGCATAAGGGTCAAGGCAGACTTTTATTTTTATTGTGATTTGGGTGAAAGTTTACAGGCCAAATTCATTTTCCATGCAGCAGTTCACACACATTTTGTCTCATGACATTGACTGCAATTCTCCACAATGTAACAGCTCTCTTCCTACTTTTTCCCTGCAGTTCCTTCTCCCATGTCCTTCTTTCCTATGCATTCCTGCCCTTGAGCTATCTCCCTGTGCAAACACTGCCCTTCTGTTCTCCCATGATTGATTGTTCTAAGGAGTGTATCTACTTGGTGTAAATGTTCACTCTATAGGCCTGTCGTTTGTCTGGAAGTCACGTGAGTGAGTTCAATTCCAGACCTGAAGAGTGGCTAGGGGTTGTAGTCTTTAGGTCTCACCAGGCTCTATCAGACCACCAAACCTGGCCGTTTGCATGATTCTGAATTTTGTTCCACATTGTTCTCCCACTCTATCCAGGATCTCCTGTACTGATCCCTTTCTGAGTGGTTGACAATGGTAGCTGGGCACCATCTTGTTCTTCTGGTCTCATGGTCATATAGGCTGAAGTTTACATGGTCTACTAGTCCCTTGGACTAATTGTTTCCATGCATCTTAGGTTTTCTTCATTCTTCTTTGCTCTAGATGAGGAGAGACCTGTTGTTGCATCTAGATGGCTGCTTGTAAGCTTTTAAGACCCCAGTCACTGCTCACCAAAGTAGGATGTAGAACAATGTTTTTGTGTAGTATGTTATGCCAATTGAGCTTGATGTCCCCTGCAACTGTGGTCCTGAGCCCACAGGTCCAATAACTCACTCCATCAAGGTGGTTGACTGTGCCTAAGAAGTTATCATAATCGCCCCCTGTTAGTTCTAGTTACATGCACATTCTTATAGCACATATAAATATATATGTAGAAATGTCTGCCAACTTTATATATGGTCATGGGTATATTCCCATTTGCCTAGACCTACCTGATCACTAGCCTATCTACCCATCTATTTACCCATAGATTAATGTTTGTTATTACTGATAACACAGTATTGTATATGTGAAAGGGTTTATCTTTGTTGTCTGTACCTCTTGTGTACCTCTCTGTGTCTTTCCTTTCCTTAGTGTTGTTGGGTTGGTCACTCACTTGTGGTACATTGCCTTTCCGTTTCAAGACAGACGTTTTTTACTGTTATTGTTGTTAGGTGCCATCCAGTTGGTTTCAACTCATAGCAACCCTATGCAACAATAGAACACACAGTGCCCAGTCCTGTGCCATTCTCAGAATCCTTGCCATGCTTGAGCCCATCGTTGGCAGGCACTGTCAATCCATCTTGTTGAGGCTCTTCCCCCTTTTGGCTGACCTTCCACTTTATCTAGCATGATATCCTTGTCCAGGGACTTGTCCCTTCTGACAGCATGACCAAAGTACGAGAGATGAAGTCTGGCCATTCTGAGGAGCACTGTGGCTGTGCTTCCTCCAAGACAGATTTGTTCATTCTTCTAGAGTACACAGTACCTTCAATATGGCATCAATTCTTCTGTGGTGTTCCTCATTCATTGTCCAGCTCTCACATGCATATGAGATGATTGAAAATACCACGGCTAGGGTCAGGCATACCATCGTCTACAAAGTGGCATCTTTGCGTTTTCACACTTTAAAGAGATCTTATGCAGATTTGCCTAATGAAATACATTGTTTGGTTTCTTTCTTTTCTTTTTTTTTTTTAGGATTTGGGTGAAGATTTACAGAGTAAATTCACTTTTCATACAGCAGTTCACATATACTTTGTCTCATGTCAT